CCACAGTCACCTTCTCATGCCTTAGCATCTAGCATATCACAGAATTTCTTTAGTGCATTTAGTGCTGTTGTGATTGAGTGTAATGGTAGTTCTCTTAGTTGTTTATAACAGTGCTGTGATTATTGGGGTTACCTAAGGAAGAAAAATGGAACCTGCAAACTCAAGGAAAAACTCTTAATTGTCAGTAGCAGTGTGACTACTGGCTAGGGAACCTGCTCTCCACTGCCTCACTGCCTTAGGAGTTCTCGTCAGAAATATTTATTCAGGTGAGGCTGGGGTTTTTGACTGTGCCATGGAAAATAATTTCAGGACAAGTCAGTCTGAAGCAGAATTGGAATTTATCAGAAAGAAATTTTAACATGATTTAAGCACAAGGTTTAGTAGGTACCAGAGAAAGGATAAGACAAGCTGAAGTGTGGGTGTGGGCTTCTGGAGAGAGCTGTTCAAGTGCCTTTAAAATAACTATGTATCATTTGAGTGGCTTCTGAAGTTGACAGTACTGCTTTACAGCCCCATTCAAACCTGCTCTGGTGTAATTGTTTGTTTGTTGTTTCACCTAGTGTTAAACAAGTCACTATTCTTTGCAATATAAAATACCAAGTGCTGTCATGTGTCACACATTGGAATTGGTGGGTCATAGTTAATCTAAAATCCTCAGACAGTGGTCTAGAACCATCAGTTCTAGTGTATGAACAAACCAATACCTACTCTAGTGTTTTGAGGAACAGAAAATGTGTAAATGCTTATAGAGAAGAGGTTTAGTGTCACATCATGTTTTGTCAATAAAACTTCTACCTAGAAAGTCATTTTTAAATGAATTTTAAATTATTATTTCTTAGTGTCTCTTACACCCAAGGCGGGGGTGGGAGGGTGTGGGGTAGTGGTGATGGGGTAGTGGTGATGATGGTGGTGGTGGTGGTGGGGTGGTGCAGGAGTAGATGAAGGGAATGGAGAGGGGGGAAATACTTTCCCAGACTAAAGCAGGGAGTGGGAAAGCAACAAGTAGAGAGAGTGGAGGCCACATTGTCCTTCCTCACTGTCTGGGACTGAGCCCCAGGTTTCCCTAGCCCTGGGCTCCCCATTCACTTGAAATGTTAAGATGAGGCCCAGGGCACCTGACCTTCCTACTAATATATTACATCATCACTTTTTAAGTGGATATGGTGGTCGAGGGTGGTGGGTAGTTCAGTGGCATATCATCCTGCTTTTGGTACACCCCTCCAGGCAGTTCTGGCCTTGAGATGGTGTGCAGGTGGTCTTCCTTGGTGAAAGCTTTGTGGCACAGGTGGCACTCATAGGGCAGGTCCACAGTGTGTAGGCACATGTGGTTCTTGAGGTCTTCTTAGCTCTGCAGGAAGCCAGCTGGGCAATGTAGGCATGAGTATAGGGACACTCTCCTGTGGATCTTCAGCTTGTCGATCTTCAGCTTGTCATTCCTGGTGAAGCGGATACCTCAGACCTCACAGGCAAAGGCCTTCTCGCCAGTGTGGGTTCTCATGTGACATGGTAGTTTACCTGCCCTATGGATTATCTTGTGACAGACTGGGCACTCTTTGGGCATTTGTGAATGGCATTTATGCACCAGCTTGTCTTGGCCATCAGGTCAGGATCAATGGTAAATTCATTTGAGCCCTCTCGGGGCTCATTGCGCTGTGCTAGCTCATAGGCTGGAGGATATACCAGCTCCTCCTCTTCTTCTTCCCTCTCAAAGACCTCATAGTTCTGGTACCAGTCAGGAGGTGAGGCATCACCTGTGGGAGGACCAGCTGTCCCTAAACCCACTGCTCCCACTTGGTAAGTCAAGGGATGGGTGGGTACTATGGATGCATCAGGGACCAGATGCTTTGCTCAGACCCCCTTGGTTTGAAGAAAAGCTTTTCAGGGCTTGCAGCTGTGGCAGGCAACAGGTCAAGCTGGTGGTGGTGGTGGTTGGAGGGGCTCCTGTGGAGGGCTGTCCTCACATTGGGCACATCTGAGGTTGAGGCTATGTTGGTGGCAGTGGCAAAAGCCTCCAGGTACTGTCAGGCTTGTTCACAGTCACCCTCATCTGAGCTAGTGGCTTCTAGCCCACTACTTTGTAGAATTTCCATACAGGCAACAAGGACACGGGATTTCTAGTGGCCAGGTAGCTTGAAATACAGCCAGTGTGTTGGCACTGCTGGTGGTCAGTGTGGCTGTGTAGGTAAATTCCAGCAGGGCACCCAGGGCTTCAGGCCCTACAAAGTCTGGCTCACACTCACACACAGGCTCCTGCTCATCCAGCAGCTGTCCTGCCACCCCTGTTACCAGTTACAGTTACAGTCCCCTCACCCCCATCATGTAGATCTTGTGGAAGTAGTGGCTATAGGCAGCCAGCACAACCATATGGGTGCTGTATTCAAGATCCTGTGTCCTGATGGTGAGGTCTCATAGATGGCCCAGCTGGATCTGCTCATTGAGGCAGCTCAGGAGCTCACTGTGTGGTCTGGGAATGAAATTCCAATCAGGACATCCTCAGGACTCCCCATCAGGGCTCTCCATCTTTTCCTTTCAGCTTTCTGGAGCTGCAGAGTGACAGTTTGGGAAGAAGCCCAAACTTCCCGTCAGTACAGGGCTTGTGGCTTTGCTCTGGTTGTGGTCAGAAGGCTGAGGTCAGTGGCTCACCTCTCACTTTTGGGGGAGGGCTCCTCCTCCACCACCATTTGCCTCCTCCTGCTGCCCTGACCCCCCTGTGACATGGAGAGCCTTACATTCACCTGGCTCTCCCCCTCCAGGGCCTGCCTCACCTGTCCTTCCATCTCCCCTGTCCTCCTGCTTGTTTTCCTCTCATTGTCCCCTCCTCCCCCCCACACCTGCCACCCTCAAACTCTTCCTCCCCTTAACAAGACCCTCTGTCACTTCCTCGTTTTTCACCCCCAGCCACCCCTTCCCTCCTCCCAATAAGGACATAAGCTTACACCTCTTCCAACAGCCAGTTTCCAGCAGGGAGCATGTGGGTCCCTCCATCCCTTTCACCCCCTTCCTCTGAGCTCTTACTGTGCTCCCTGAGCCTTTCCCAGCCTTTTCCTTTCCCTTCTTTCCTTCTGTGTCCCTTCATCTGCTGCGATCCCTCTCCCTCTTTCTTTGTACCACTGTCTCCTCCAGTCCACCTTCACCTATACAGTTGTGAATAACAGTCTTCCTAAAACACAGATGAGTATTAGGATAAGATATTGTATAAAATACCAGAAGATAATGTGCTCAGCTGACTATGAACCAGGAGAATTTCAGCATTTGTTGCTAGCTGTGGTCCTTCCTCTTATTTACACAGTGATGCTTACAGTGCTGGTGTTTAGGTGCTGCCATGATTTTTTCATAATTGATTTTGTATTTAAGTAGAGAGACATGGTAGCTTAAGTAATTTTGTTTTCTCATAGTCACTGTTTTTTATTGGAGGCATGGTAGACATTATTTCTAGAAGTTGTTTTGCCTTGAGAATGTTGATATTTCTAAATAGTAATTTTTTTTTTTTTTTGGTTTTTCGAGACAGGGTTTCTCTGTGTAGCTTTGCGCTTTTCCTGGAGCTCACTTGGTAGCCCAGGCTGGCCTCGAACTCACAGAGATCCACCTGGCTCTGCCTCCCGAGTGCTGGGATTAAAGGCGTGCGCCACCACCGCCCGGCCTAAATAGTAATTTTTAAATCAATGTATAGAGTCAGTAGTTTTAATTTTTTTCTTTAAGGACAGTACTCATTAGCTACCTGTAGCTGAACTATTAATACAATTTGGATTTCAGTTCTCACTCTTCCTAGCCTCATAAAACTGCTCAGTAGTTACTGGTGAGTAGAATGCCCAATAGAAAAACAGGCCCACACATTTTTCATCTCACAGAATATTTTCCTGGACAGTGCTATTCTAGGACATAAGAAGTTCATTGAAGCAAATTGTTTTATGTTATTTCTTTTAAAATTTTAGTAATGATTGAAATAATATACTAAGATAAGGAAGAGTAAGAAACACAGAGGAAGTGTTTGTTTCCATGCTACTGTTATTATTCAATTTATGATCAATTCATGGCTTTGAGTGTGGTTGAAGTACAAACTGATTGTTAGTCCAGCAGAGTAGAAGAGTGGCTGTCTGCCATGGATCCATTATTAAGTAGCTCTTGGGTGTGCACAGGGCGACAGTAAACAACAGTATTGATGGCATATCTGCTTTTGCACAAGTCTCATCCCTAGAATTTATAACGTGTGTCTTGAGGTGTCCATCCGGCTGGCTTGAGGTCGGCACTCTAGCTGAAGGTGGAATGGAGGAAGTGTGGTCTGGGACACACTCATTCACCAACCCTTCTTCAATATACTGTTACTCTTCCTGGACTTTTCTTTTGAAAGTCATTCACTTGGGTGATGCCCTGAATTAACACAGTATATAACAAATAAAATGTTACATAAATACTGACTGCCAGGATATTTAGCATATGTAGTGATTAAAAAAACATACTGAAGATGATTTCACCTGAGGGAAATACATTTTCTACCGAATTATTAAACCACTATTTACTTATAAGTGTGCCCTCTTATTGGAAACCTTTAGTCTCAATGGGATTGTTAACCACTAAATTAAAATGATTTAAGTAGCAATTGTGTACTGATATACCTGAAAATTAAAAATTGTCACTCTTCCTGGAATTAACATTGATGTGTATTAAGAATCAGAATTTTTTAATACTGTTTCATAGATAGTGTTCAAAGAAGTACTATCATTTGTCTTTAGGCCTTGCAGAAGTTATTATCTGGGTTAAAAAGTTTTTATTTACTGATGAAACAATGTATTTCAGATTGGTCTTGATATGCATTGTTTGTCGATCTCTTCCAATTCTGTGCTTAATAATTTTTATTTAAGTGAAGGATGCTTTGGAACAATATTAAGATAATTTTTAAAAGAATTGGATCATCATCTGTTTTGGGAAATAAAATCATTGTGGTTGTTTTGAATGGCTATCTGTTTATACTGTTTTAAGTCATTTTCTGGTTGTCTTCACAGCTATGAAGTCTTACACTACATATTTCATGCTCCTATGGAGTGCTGTTGGAATAGCAAGGGCTGCCAAAATCATCATCGTGCCGCCAATTATGTTTGAAAGCCATTTGTACATTTTCAAGACGCTAGCATCAGCCTTGCACGAGAGAGGACACCACACGGTGTTCCTCCTCTCAGAAGGCAGAGACATTGCCCCATCTAATCACTACAGCCTCCAGCGATACCCAGGGATCTTCAACAGTACCACCTCAGATGCTTTCCTGCAGTCTAAAATGCGGAATATTTTCTCTGGGAGACTGACAGCAGTTGAACTGGTTGACATACTGGACCACTATACTAAGAATTGTGACATGATGGTTGGCAACCGAGCCCTAATCCAGGGTTTGAAAAAAGAAAAGTTTGACCTGCTACTTGTGGACCCCAATGATATGTGTGGATTTGTGATCGCTCATCTTTTAGGAGTTAAATATGCTGTATTTTCTACTGGCCTTTGGTATCCTGCTGAAGTAGGAGCCCCTGCTCCTTTAGCTTATGTCCCAGAGTTTAACTCACTCCTCACAGACCGCATGAACTTCCTGGAAAGGATGAAAAATACTGGCGTTTACCTCATTTCCAGACTGGGGGTTAGCTTTCTGGTTCTTCCCAAATATGAGAGGATAATGCAGAAGTATAACCTGATGCCTGCGAAGTCCATGTATGATTTGGTTCATGGGTCCAGCCTATGGATGTTGTGTACTGATGTAGCACTGGAGTTTCCAAGACCCACGCTGCCTAACGTTGTGTACGTTGGAGGAATCCTAACAAAGCCGGCCAGCCCACTGCCAGAAGTAAGGTTTGCTGAACTTCTTGGTAATTTTTTTAAAAAAAAATATAAGTGTCAGTTTTTATTTCTGAAAGAAAAAGTATTGGTTAGTATTACTTTAAGAGCCCATAGCTGATCAGCCCTCTTTATTTGTGGACCCTTCACCTCCCTGGAAATCATCTGCTTTGGGTGAGCAGATCTATAGTATCAAGAGGCTCTCTGTCCTGTGTAGGCAACAGATTGAATGGAAAATAGATTTTTAAGTAATAACTACAGTCTATGAGAATATACTTAGCTGTTTAGTTTTAATAAGCATAATTTATTTTGTTTTTAATTAAACATTCTGTTCTCCACAAATAGTATGCAGAGCATGGTGTTTGGTAAACGCAGTAAAAATGGAGAGAATAAAGGTACTTCTTTGGGAATTTATAGTGACTAGAACATTTCCAATCTATAGTAAAAGTGAGTACTGATTTCAAAGTAGGAAATCCACTAATTAAAATTAATAACAAATGTAACATTTTAAGAAAAGCATACCCTAGTGCAGTTTCATTTAAAAAACAGAATTAATGATACATTAGAAATATCTGGCTTCTCAAAACTGCACTCTTTTCTTTTTTGCTAGTTTAACCATCAGTCCATTGTTCTTCAGAAATCTTTTTTCTATCATATTTTGTTTTAATTAGCTACCTAAACTAGCAAGGATGATATAATATATCATTATATATATATATACACACACACACACACACACACACACACACACACACATATATATTAAAAAAGTTTTCTAACTTTATGATAACTCAGTACTTTATATCACTTAAACAGTAGTAAAGCTTATATAATTTTATTTTCTCTCATCTGTGAAAATAGCTACCTGTACAAATGGTTCATTTCCACTGTGGGCACTAAATACAAAAAGTCTGCCAGGCCCTCAATGAAGAGAAGACCCAGACTGTCTCCTGTAGGCATTAACATAAAAATGATCACCGGGTAGTATTTTCTTACAGTGAAATCAGGTAACTGGAATGTAGATGTGAGTCTTTTCTGGTAGACCCATTGAAGTGATACTTAAGAAATACCTTGCTATAGTCCATGTGACATGGAAGCACAGGAGTAGTTGGCTTTGTGTCCAGTGCTGGCTTAGCAGCTTGAATTGATGCAGTCACTGGAGTGTCAAGGGCACAGCTGCACTGGCTACTGTAGAAGATGAGAATTAACCTTAACCTATCTCAGCTGTTCATGAAGAGTCACCTTGTGATGTATCGCTCGCCTTCCTAAAGATAGTTAAAGTCAGATTTTAGAAGCAGCTCCTCAAGGATTTAGTAAACAAAGCTGTCTTTACCTCGAGAGGGTCATTTATAATGTCACAGAGATAGCTTTGCTCTTTCTACGGCTTCATCATTTCCCAGTGAGACCAGTGCTCTCTGCCAGCAATATTGGTTTTGGTCTCAGTACTTTTCTCTCTTTATCTACTCAGTCTCTTGATTAGAGAAAGCTCTTCTGATCCCCCCTTTCAGTTTCAGTGGATATTTCTTGAGTTGCATCAACTTGAACAGTGAATTATAGGTATACAAGACTGTTCTATATTTTGTGTGCTTTCTGTCTTTATTAAGATACATAGTATATGTGCATTTTTCTATAGTTTGAATTTAATTTTACTGCCTTGGTTCCCTCTGTTCAACCATATATTAACTAGTTTTAATATTGTGTTTCTTTTTAAACTTAAAATTATTTATTTTACATGTATGGGTGTTTTGGCCTCATATATGTCAGTGTACCACATGCATTAATTACAGATCGTTGTGGTGCTGGGAATCGAATTTGAGTCCTCTGGAGTAGTCAGTGTTCTTCTTTTTTAAGATTTATTTATTTATTATTGCATATACGGTGTCCTACTTGCATGTGCTCCTGCATGGTAGAGTATGGCACCAAATCTCATTACAGGTGGCTGGTTATGAGCCGCCATGTGGTTGCTGGGAATTGAACTCAGGGCCTCTGGAAGAGAGCCATCTTCTCTCAAGCCCTGCAGTCAGTGCTCTTAACCACTAAGCATCTCTAGGTCATCTTGGGTTTTGTTTTGTTTTATGTTTTTTTTTTTTTATAAACCATTTTAGTGGGTTTTATTGAGCCTCACCTAATGTATTAATTGAAAAGTTTTTAGACTTAACTTGGTTAACACTGGCTTGACTAACTTTTTATGAGCTTATCAATTCTTCTCTCATTGAATTTTCTGTAGTGACTCTGGTGAAAGTGTGCTTCTAATTAGCAGCAGCTGCTCGTGTCTGTTGGTTGGGTTACACATACTGTTGAATGTACCTGGTGTGTGTTATACTGTAACATGATTAGTAGCACGGAAGGTTTGGATCTTAAATGCAAGATTAGTCTCATTTTAGTGTACCATCCTTAGTATGGATATTTTGACAAATGTCTATCTTACTCCTTTTGGTTCCCCTTACTCTGTTGAAATTTTATATGCTTAGAGCATATATCTTCCTACTGAGATTTCTCTCATTTATATCTGAGATAACTACACAATAGTGTTTTAAATGTTAATGAATTTCTCAGGTGTTCATACAATTCCAGAACGTGTTTATGACAATAAAACAAGAGGGTCCAGCAAGTAGCTGGTGAGAAATGTTATTCCATAACAACCACCCAGCTGTTAATTGCCTTGGTATTTCATATTGGGAACATATTTCATTTTCTACATGTCTGGAAATGATAGTGAGATTTGAATTTTGCAGCATGGGATGAAGAGATGGAAAAATTTCTAAAAGATGTTTTTAGAAACTTTCATGATGTTTGAGTGTGTAAAAACTATTGTATCTGGACCAGCTCCATTCAGTAATTTTCTGCCTTCAAAATAGAGAATAGACATACATGATGGCCCATCACTTGACAGATAGATAAAAAGAGTTTGAGTGGCTCATTCAAGCCCAGACTCTGGGAGGCACTTGTACCATAAATTTCTGGGCTATTGATTAGTTTGTCAAAATGACTATACCCTTTTAATTCATATTATTCATTACACATGCAGTTGTGTTCAAGACTACAGAGATAGCTGTTTCTTCAGTCTTATTTGATATCAATGATTGTGAGTGCTTAGTACAAGAATCATCAGAAACTATTTGGATTCTTACATTTTAGGGATTCTGGGTTGATCTGGTTGAAATAAAAACAGACACATTATTAATAATACAATGTTGCATTGATGTAGTGTGAGAAATTGTTTACCCTGATAATCTAATAATTCAAGATGCAAGTGAAATGTGGCCTGAGAAACCACCTGGGTTCCTAGGATGGATTCTATTGGTTTATAAGGTGTCTTCACACAGTTATGTTGGTATTTGGAGAACAGAAAGTTGAAGACCATAGTGTTTGAAGAGACTGCCATTTATTTCCATTTGAGCTCAGATGTTCACCACAAAAGGCGAGTCAGGCAGGAAATGGTAGATTTATGTTTTTGTAGTTTTGTGAGTTTATCATAACATTTTGGCATTCTTTTGTAGTAATAAACCAGAAGAAGATTTTGATATTCAAATCTATAAAAAAGTAATTTAGGAACTGTGGGAGTCATCAGTAACTCACCATTCATTCTGCAGCATTTGCAACATTAAATAACCTGTCTGTTGCGTCTGTAAGCATCATGAGCTAAAGGGATTTATTGACATAATACGAGATGCAATTCTATGAACAGATTCCAATTCTGCGACCACATTCCACTGTCTGAAGTTGATATCAAAGGGTTTAGCATAATTTTAAGTCCTCTGCTCCAGCATCAGTACTTAAACCATTATTGTACACTTGAGAATTGTTCAATTAGATATTGATAAAACATTGGCAATGTTAAGGGAAATATTTTTAACTGATATTTCTACCAGTCATAGTTTTTATAATAAATTGCTGTTGGATTCCTATACTTGCTGTATTTTTCACATATCCTCATTCCAAGCCAAACAGTTCTATTTTTAAATTATACTTGCTACTGTCGATGAGCTTGACACATTTATTTCTTAGTGCTCATTTTTTAAATGAAAAAATGGCATACCTTATTTTTTCATTTTATATATTAAATAACATTATAATAAAATGTTGTAATACATTTTGAAACCAAGAAATGGGAAAATTTTCAGGTTACAAAACCCCCAAATTCCTAAATTACTTTTTCTAAATTGGTCAATGTGACAACTGTACTCAGTGACCAGTCATGTTTAATTTCTACTGCACTAATAGTCAATGCAATTAAAAGAAGCTCTAAGTTAACAACTTTCCCAAAGGAATTGCACATATTTGATTCTTTTGAAATGCAAAATGGTTCTCACTACTTCAATACCCAGAGAGTTAAATTCACATATCCACCAAAAAAAAAAAGGAAGGAAGAACTGAAGGAAGGATATAATGGAGTAGAAACTTAGAGAAAGGCTGTATTTAGAGTTTTAGCTTTTTCATTGTTCAGGTATCCTTTCTAACTTTGAGATTAGACCATATCCTTTACCTTCAGAACACATTTTAACAGAGAATAGTGAGTATAGCTTGTGAAAAATCGGGACTACCAAAGCCAAAGCACCCACTCTCTGGCTGTGTTGGTGGAATACTTAATACTAAATTCCAAGATGCTGCCTGACAGTGTTGTAGCAAACAGAGAAGAGGAAAGCATGGGTTTTCAGTAGACGTTGGCCCTTTGTTCGAATGCCTTTGTCACTGTGTCTTCAGCTTTATTAGTGCAAAGACAACAATGCACTTTGGGTAGATGATAACTGTCCATGGCCATACTTAATGGTGGAACTTGATGTTCTTACTTGCTATACTAACTTATCTAACTTTGCTGAAGCATTAATTACTTCCTGCTTTCCACGTGGCAAATAGCAGAATTCATCTTGGGAGAGCTGTGGGAGTGCAGGGCAATGTGTATGTGTCCTGGCTTCATTTTTATTTGGTCTGTCTAGTTTTCTCACTGAAATAGAAGGAAGAAAACAAGTAAATGAGATCCATTGTCCTTTGGTTTTTTGAGACAGGGTT